CATCAAATATGTATTTACTTCCTGTTATATTGACGATTTAATATCGATCAATAGTCCAGAAATAGTCCAATAATCCACGAAAAAGCAGTAGCCATTTTAGCTCATTAAGTAATATATATTTCTGTTGAGCTTTGGGATATTCCACTGCCGAGTCCCTTAACAGATCACGGGCTCCGGGGCAGCTGCCTCTCATCAGCCCTGGGTATAATAACCTACCTTCATTTTTGAAAAGTTAGTTACATCGCTTGATTTTTATGTTGTCATAATTACGATCTTTATCGTCACTTTTTGCATTGTAAAATTTCAGTAAAGGAAGAGTGATAGAGGGCGCGCTTGATGTGTGATGTATGATAGACATGGTTTGAACTTGTCTAGAAGTTTGTCTGAACATGGTTTTAACCCATTTATTCCAAAGTATGTCTCGTAGTGATGCGTCATAACACTGCGCTAGTTCACTTTTCAACCGGTTTATTACGTAATAATAAGATTCTGTTCACATAGATCTAAGAGAATTTCATAAGATTCAACACGTGCTTTGCTACTTATTGAAAAGAAACAGAAGTGTAATATTTATGATTCTTATTGTTAAACCAAAATTTTGGAAGAATTATCGCCTCTAATTTTTTTTTATCAATCGCACTTCTATACTTGTGAAATTCAAAGAAAACAAGCAAACAAAAAGTTAGTTTTTTACTAAAAACGAAACATTCTACAAAAATTAATAATTTATCTCTGCAATAATAAGATATTATGCCCGAAACTACTTTGTAACTTAGAAAACGGATATATTTTTAGTCGGTCATATTCAATATTTTTTCTAAATTTCAGAACAGGTTGTCTGTGTTTATTACCTGTCATTAGAAACATGACGTACTATAGTGGATAATAGCATAACTGTAAGTATTAGTTAATAGGGTATTTTAGTGTTAGGTTAATGTATAAACTTTCAACTAAATTAATTTGGTGGGAAGATTGGAAATAGAGATTGAAGGCTCGTCAACTTCAATGTAGTTTAAGGGTAAGTGCAATAGATGGCAGCATGGAGCTATGTTTGAAAATTGTGAGCTTTAATTGTGACTTTCAGGTAGATACAGTACACCACACTCCCAGAAGTTGCTTATTTGAAGATGGGTTGGGAAGATTGCGCTAATAAAGTGTGAAAATTGTAGGTTGAGAACAGAATTAAAAGAAGCAAATCAAGAAATGGATAAAATTATGGTAAAGGTTGTTATAATGGAGGAGATAATGTGAATGCTGGGTGCACAGTAGTAACAATGTTAATGCTACAGATAGACAGGTACAGTTTGAACTCAGGTACCACTCTCTAATGGAGTTGAATCAATGGTTACGTGTTAGAGGTTTGCGTAGTGGGGAAATCATTCATTAATCATACGGATAAAGTTATTTGTAGTGGAAAGAATAGCGAAACTAGGACTAGAATTTACTTGCCATGTGATAAAGTACAAGATAATATACTAGAGTGTGTTCACTGGTACCAAAGAACTTTCTCTTTCTAATGAGGGGCTCCACTTAAGCACGTTACTTAGGCATTAGAATGCTTAGCAGCTTGGAGAAGTTCTAGATATATTTATTTAAGATAGTTTAAACTAAACTTGCGTAATAATGAGCGATCTTGGGAAATTAGGAATAAACGAACTGAAAGAATAGCTAGAACAACGAGGAACTTTGAAAAAGAAAAGTTAGAAAATAAGTTAAATAATAAAGCATTTCGAATTCATATATAGAATATTGAATTTACGGAAAGATAGCAAAGTTCTATGAGAAAAAAGAACTATGGGGGAGAGGGAGGGGGCGGTGACCGTACAGTCTAAAACCCAGGTGAATTTTGTTATGGGGAAAACCGGAGTGCCCGAAGAAAACCCACTTTGACATGACAAACGCCGAATAATCTATCTGTCCTATGCCCTGGCTGTAAAAGAAAACATGGTGGTTAGTAATGACAACATGACATGGTGTTTAACCCTTTGTATGTGTGTTTTATTTTTTGTTTTCCTGTTCGCAGAACAGACTGTATGGCGAAGTGTGTTTGTGGGAGCGCTTGAAATTGTGTGAAGTGCAGCTGTCAATTTATTTCTTTATTTAGACTTTTTTAAATAATATTTGAAAACAAGTTCGGTTAGTCTGTTTCTTAAAGTAAGTAGGTTGCTGATTTTAGTCCACAAATTTTAGCCTATTGGTTTCTAATGCTTCATCAGCTTTCAGCATTGAAACCGTACTAATAAACATATTTAAAGAGTATTGTTTTGTCGTTTCTTACAATATTAGGATATCAGATTAGGAGTTTACGAAATGTATTAATATGATTCTTCAGTCTAATTATAATGGATTTATTAAATTACTCATAATTTAATACTGTAAAGAATTTACACCGTGAGGGGGCGACTAACATAGCAAAGCTGTTGCTATTTGAAATCATATTTGTAAGTTTTGTATTTTTTTCTGATAATGTAGATTTCTTTCTTCCATTACTACTTTAAAACCCATTTTCCATATTATACGGCCTATACAAACTCGTTCTTTTGTATCATATCCTTCTATGTCCATTTTTTTTTCGATTAACGTACGTGGATCATTGATTTGATGTTACGACTACGACCATTGGACTTTGCAAATTGTAGCTCATGTAACTAGCCCGAAAATCAAAATATATTACTAAATTAGTATATTGTATGTAACATTAACAGTAACGTAGTGGTACTGGTAGCACTATAGAAATGAATAGTTAAGTAGGTTAATAGTAATTGCACCGGTAGGGCTGATAAGTGTCTAGTAGTTAGTTTAATACTAGTACTACTACTAATATCTGCAGGGTGTGCTAGAGCTACCTTTTTTTTAAAAGTTGAGTTACTTTTCATTATTATTCTCATAGTAATATTAAACATAAAATGTGAACGATTGAAAAGATGCCAATAGTAAGTAATTAAAGTATTCAAAGTGAGAGTGAAACTCATTTTTACACTAAAATTTAAAATGGAAAGTAAAGGTATCCTTAAAAGTTCAACAGTTTAAGATTTGTAACATGAAAATAAACTTGGACATGTATTTTGTAAAATTAGATCCATAGTGGAGTAAATAAGTAAAGGAAACATTTATCACTGAATTTTTGCACTGAAATGAGGTTAGCTAAACTTAATTTTACATTTTACTTGAAAAGAATATGTATGTAATGGTAACTTTTGTTTATGAACATTTTCACTTTCAGAAGAATGTATGATGAAGTGAGTAAAGTACTCAGTAGTTGTGCAGAAATAAAAGCTACTACACTAGAGTGGACATCCACACAAAGTCTTTCATTCTATATCTGAACAGATGATGTAATTACATTATTTTTCAGTATACTTGGTAGCAAAGATAATTAGAAAATCCATCATGAAAATAATAACTTAAAGTAGATTCAACTTGAATTATTTGTTTGATAATATATGTTGTATATAACTTATAAGGGAGGAGATTATGCAGGAACGTCAAGAGTCAACCTAGGGCAAACATCCTCGCTGGGCCCCCTTTCTCTCTCTCTCTCTTCTTTTTTAGCATTTTCAAGAATTTATTAAAAAGAAGATCCTAAATTAGGACAGCACTGAGCTCATAAACCAAACAAAATCATAGCAGCAGCCATTTTTACCTCACAGTATAAGTGTAAAAACGTTAATAAATTAACAACAAATATCTATTAAATCTATAAAGTAACAAGTACATATTAATTATTGCTCAGACTATTATTTCA